GTGGAAAACCTAGGTTAGAAGCTTGCCCATAGGGCTAATTCACATGCCCTCCAGCCTGGGATTCAAAGAGTGGTGAGTACAGTATTGTACTGGAGAGGCTCCTTTGCCTAGGGGAAAGAGGTTGGAAAATGAAATATTTTACTTGGCCACAAGAGGGTTGTTTACTTTAAATTGCTTGTGAAATTTATATGAATGTCTCTGTTGGTGTAAATTATGTCTTGGAGGAGGTTGTCAAGTAACTGATGCCAGGATCACAGGTTTTGCATTGGACTGCAAGGTTTCCCTTGCAAGGTTACCTTCTTCCACAAGGATTATACATATACCTATGCTCTATCTGTAAACACCATCTTATTTATTTATTCTATTTATACCCCGCCCATCTGGTCGAAACGACCACATCTTCACAGGTGCATTTGGTAGGAACACAGGAGACAGCCTTCTCTGTCACTGCTCCCAGGCTCTGGAGCTCCCTCCAAGAATATACTGGTCCCATCTTTGCTGTGTTTCTGCAAGCTGATGAAGACCTTTCTTGCCAGGCAAGCTTTCCCTGAGTAAATGGCTGTCAAGTGGGGGTTTTGAAATGATTATTGTATCTTACTGCATTGGATGTATTTTGGTGTTGCTTATGTTTTTGTAGTCATTGACCCTTTGAGTATTATATGCTCATTGTTAATAACTTAAATACAGTACTGTCTTGATTGTTGTAAGCCACCTTGGGTCCTTTTTAAGGTTAAAAATATATTAAATAAATATTGATCTATCACCTATTCCACTTTGAAAGAAATTTAAAAAATACACAAATATTAAAAATAACACAGCAGCAGTGGTGAGTGGCTGTGAGGGATGTGTGCTCACCTGTGTCAGAGCCTCTCTGCGCTCTCTTCTCCACTCCATTCCTCCTGCTTGCAGTCAAAGCCAGAAGGAATCAGAACAAGACAATATAGCTTAAGGTTTTTTAAAAAAAACAGAAAAGAGAGCTAGCAGAGAAAGAAAAGTTAGATGAGAGAAAGCACTCCCTCCTTCATAAACCTGGAAGCTGCCAATCTTGTAAATTTCTCTTGTCAATTTTTCTTTCCTACTCACTGGTGTGCCTTCCCTTTTGCTAGTCCCTATGGGTTCCACTGCTCCCTCTCCTTCTGCACCTTCCATGTGTGTATGTGTATGTCTGTGCACATGTGTCCGGCTGCACGGAAACATTGGAGTCTAATTTGTTTTATCTGTAATACTGATCTAACACTATCCCTGTTTGAAAAAAAATAAAACATGTGAGAGGCAGCCAATGCAAAGTCACAGGACAAAGCTACATACACAATGATTCTAAAAGCCCATGTAGCCTCCTTTACTGATATACAAGTTTTAAAATGGATTAAATTTTCCCAAGGGGATGCACACAAAAACTGATCTCAAAGCCATGTGACTACTATGCAACTTTAAATCAACTTCAGAACCCCCAATCCATCTCCCAATACATTTTCATAGTGTAACACACTGGTTCTTAACCTTGGGTTACTCAAGTTTTGGACTGCAAATCCCAGAAGCCTTCACCACCAGCTGTCCTGACTGGGGTTTCTGGGAGTTGCAGTTCAAAAGCATCTGAGTAATAAAGGTTAAGAACCACTGGTGTAACATGCCTTAGTTATCTCTGAGGAGAATGCCCTGATGCACTGTTGTGTATGCCCTGAGATTGTGCTGAAACTATGCTAGGATGTTACGTATTAGAATAGGTTAGCTGGTTTTCTTATTTTCCTTTCTGGTTGTTCTGTAATTGCTCTTGCTTGTTTATTTGCTCCACACTCTTTGTCTGCTTCTGTAACTGTTGAAAATATGTCTGAAGTTTTCCACTCTTTTTGATTTTTTCACCACTGTGTGTGTGTCTTTACGTGCGCACACGTGTGTGCATAGATATAAATTAAAAGGGTTGGTGGTACTGTAAACCTGGCCTTGCCTTAATCTACTGAGAGCCTGTCTCTTTTGTGGGTATGATGGTATTCCTACCTTTCAGGGCTGGCATAAGAATTCAAGCACTTAACTTTGTGGATTTTTGGTTACTCCATAGAAGCATGGCTTAGTCAGAGTGCACTAAGGTTTTGCAAGGCAGGAAGATTTTCCTCAGCCACTAGCACATCTGACCCTCTTGTTTCCATCCACATAAGAGCAATTAGGGTGGTGAGGATGAATGGTTAGTGTGGGCTTCCCTGGCCTGGAAAACCTTGACACGACATTTTTCCTGGCAAGAAAAAGGTATATGCCTCTTTTGGTTGTTGTAGGTTTTTCAGGCTCTTTGGCCGTGTTCTGAAGGTTGTTCTTCCTAACGTTTCACCAGTCTCTGTGGCCGTCATCTTCAGAGGAAAGGAGGAGCACTGAAAAGCCCGAAAAACCTACAACAACCATTAGATCCCGGCCGTGAAATATATGCCTCTTTCTTTGAGCATTGTATCTTCAGACCCTTTTCAGGTTTCCATATTGCCAACCAGCCATAAAGAGGGTTCTTCTGCCAATTATTTGTCAAGTGTCTGCTTGAGAGCACTGAAATGTTACTTTTTGGGGACCATAGCTCCTCCATGCCAGATCCGAGATGCAGCGGGTGGTAATTCAATCAGTTTCCCCTCAGCTGACTTGAACAAAAAGTGCTCATATAATGCTAAAATAAGTTGAATAAGTTGAATGCTAAAATAATAGAATATATGAAATTATCAGTGGAAGATAATTGGTGATATCCCTTTCACACTCATACATCCAGAGATCATATTACAGTTGTCCAGCAATTATGGCCCAAGACTTCCTTATAGAACACACCTGGCTGAAAGCTCCTGGACAATGAAACTTCTGTCATCCATAAATTCTCACTCTGCTCCATATAAAGCTGTTGTCACATTCCATCAAGTGGCACCTGACCAATGATGACCCTCATTGGGTTTTCTAGGGTTAAGTGAGGTGCCTTAGAAACAATATATTACTAGGGAAGGCCTTGAACCCAAGGCACCTGAGTTCTGGTGTGATACTCTCATCAGGAGATGGGCACAGGGTGAGCAGCTGTGGTGTAAGAACACCACAGCAGCTCTTTCTGTGCAAATTACTATGAAAATGTTTAAAAACCTATTATGCAAAGCAGTTATACATGTATACAGTATACTGGTCTTCCACGTCGGTAAAAAGTGTTCACCACTACTGCGTGGGTTTCACGTGCCACCTGTGTGTGATGTATTTAGGGACTTCAGCCCCCACACCAGGTACACTTATTTATTTCTAAATTGCTCTATTTTTCTACCGCCCATCAACCAAAGGTTCTCTAGCAACCTTTGAAAAATGAACACAGGGACATAAAGCACACACATATACCCCCGCTCCATAGCGAAGAATTAAAAAGAACCATAATAAGACTAACACTAGAAAACAGAATTTTTTACACGTGATCACGGCCCACGTATAAGGCTGCTACCCTCGACACATTTACACAGGAGTAAAGGCCCACGGAGCCCCACGGAACTTCCAGATAAACACGAAACGAGAGTCGGTTCCGCGTTCCTCGTTCTTCCTGGCTGAAGGTGACAAGCCTCAGCCCTGCGCCCCTCAGGATGAACCACGAAGCCCTCAAACCCCGTCCTCCCCTGAGTTACGCCACCACCTAGCCCCGGGCAACGGTCCCCCCTCCAGCCCGCGCTCTCTCGTCAGAGGCGGGGAAGCCTGCCCAGGTAGTCATGGCGCGGCAGAAGACAGGGAGGCAGCCGCTCTCCTCGTCTCTTAACGCCTCCAACGTGTGAGGCTAGATCCGGCTGGGCCGCCGCGGAGGGATCCCCGACCCGTGGGCGGAGGAGGCGAGGGGGGAAGAAGGAGGGAGGGAGGGAGAGAGAGAAGAAGGGAGGAGGCGCCGGCGCCGCGGCGGCCTGAGCCGCGGGGGGGGCAGGCGGGGGAAAGGGGCACCAACATGGCGTCTCCCTATTAACTTTCCCCCCCTTCGGCAGTCCCTGCCATTGCCCGCCGCCCCCCTCGCCTTGGTCGCCGTCATGCCAGGCATGATGGAGAAAGGGGCCGAGCTCCTGGGGGCCGCCAAGAGCAGGGCGGCCCCCAACGGCACCAAGAACGGTGGTGGCGGCGGCAGCCCTGGTTCCAACGGGCACTTTTCCGAGCCAGAGAGCAGCGGCGGCGGCGGCGGCAGTAGCGGTGGTGTTGGTATTGGCGGAGGTGGCGGCGGCGGCGGCGACAGCGGAGACGAGCACGGTGCGAGTTTCACCTTTCTCCTCCACTCCCTTCTTCTCCTCAGCAGGATGGGCTCGGGCCTAGTCTCTCCTCCCACCGTGCCCTAACTGTCTAGAAGAGCCTGCGTTTGCTCCTACGTTTATGAGTCCGCGGAGTGTATATGCGCGCGTGCGTGTGCGTGTGTGTTTGTGTGTGTATGTGCGCGCGTGGGTAGGTAAGGACGAGTGAGGGTATGTGCGCGCGCGCTCGTGCAAAGAGTGTGGCAGGAGAGCGCCCTCCCCCCGCCGGCTAGTGTGCGAGGGAGTCAAAGTGTGAATGTGGTGGTGGTGGGGGCGGGCATGGGCGCGCTCCCGCGCTGTTTCCCATGCGCGTGCCTGTCTGGGCGGGGGGGGGGTTCCTTCTCTCCTTGCCTCCTTCCATCCATCCATCTCTCCATCCCGCGGAGAGTGGGTGTGCTTTTTCACAATGGGCACACGTGTAAAGCAGCCGCAGCTCAGGCGAGCCATTGCATTGCAGTTTTAGGTTTGTGTGCGGCTGCTGAACACACTTAGTCGTGTAAGCCTTACAAGCAAGTACACTGCGTGCGTCTGAAGAGAAAGAGATTGCTAGGAACAGCGGTGCATGCTCTTTGCTTTCTGTGTGTCGGTGCCTTCATTTGTTAGAGGTGTGTGCTAGGGCTGACACTGACACAACACCTTGTAGTGTCAGGACAATAAAGTGAAGCTGGTGTTTCTTTAGGATTTTTTAAAAAATAATTATTCACCTTTTGGAAATTTCTGCCTACCTGAAGTATGAAGGGGAAGTAGGCTGTTCTTTTTCCGGTGTATGTGGGAGAGGGAGGGAGTAATTTATTTTTCCCCTCTTCCTCTTCACACTTGTTCACTGGGTGAAGGGTTTGAGCCTTTCAAAACAACCAGTTTTGCCCATTTTGGTAGGGTTTTGATTGGATTGATTGTGATGCGTCTAGATCAAAGTCTACACAGTTGTATTGTTTAAATATCACACTTTCATCATTGAAGAGAAAGGCGTTTTTTCCCACCGCCCCTCTAAGTGATGCATTTATTTTTTCTTCTGTTGCAGATGTAGGAATGAGGGTCGGAGCAGACTATCAAGCTCGCATCCCTGACTTTGATCCTGGTAAATCTCGTTTAAAATTTATTTCAATCCTGGTACCTTTGGTTCTTTTGAAAATGGGGGTTTATTGCATGTTATGACTTCAGTAAGAACATGACTGAGCATGCATTCAGTTTAATGCTCTAGATGTACGTTTTTGAAGGTTAAAGGTGTGGGATTTTCTTTTGCTTTTTTTTCTCTTTTAAGGCTTTGTTTTGTTTGGTGGTGGTCATTGAAGATTTACAGGGCCAGCATTTGGTGTATGCTGTACATACCAAAGGGAATAGGCCTCATATGTGGGGAGGAGGAAGACTTAACTGGTTGGTTGAAAATGAGGGGCTATGAAGATTTTTATTTTTTGAAATAAAATAAATATGTGTGTTTTATCTGCAGCAGTTTGAGGCAATATCTTATTCTGTCCATAGGAACTTCTGTAGTCCAGATTTTCCAATGTATTGAAAAGTGTAACATTGCAGATTATAGTATAATAGGTAATGCTGCTATATAGCAGGTAATGATGAAGGTACAGCAGACCTGAACTCCATGACACTAGATTAAGCCCGTGTCAATTTGCATGTACACAACAGAACCTTAATACTATCTGGACACATTCTTATTTCTAGCTATGGCCACAAGGAAGCACTGTGTGTTCTCTTGTTTCCTTGACTTGTACCCCGTATATTGGTTGATTTGTGCTGCCATAGTGATGCTCTTTTCTTCAGGCTGGGGATTCTTGCAGTGGAGATTCTATTTCTGTTATAGTTTTTTTAAGTTCTGGATGAGAAACTTCTTTTAAATGTTTTTTCAGATTTTTAATGTAGGCTTTACAGGTGATGCAAACAGTGTTTAGTCTTTTAAGAAATGCTTACTTTATTCATGTTACAGGCCTTTGCTGAAACCATTAGGATTGGTTTCAGCAATGAAATGACTCCTAGTTATTCTAGGTATCTTCTGCTGCACAGGTTACATACAGTGCTGGCAATTAAAATACGACCCTTTCACCCTGTGTTGTATTTGACTCTGGGTAATCAGAAGTTTACCAGGAAGGCCTGACACCTCATTACAGATGTATGTTGAGGAAATGGTACATCCCTTTTGCAACCAGTTACAATCCAGCATTTGATGTTGCTGCATCATTTGGAAGGCACTCTAGTCCTTTTATCTTCTGTATTCTTGTGGATAACTTGGGACTGTCAGATTTCTGTTCTCATTCTATGACTCAAATATAAGAGAGAAATAATCCATGTTCATATGCAGTTCACTAGTCATGTGAATAATGGTATCAGGTGAAATAGCAGCCAAAATCCTGTTGGTGATTTATGTTTAAGTTAAATTGCATAATGTGCTGTGGCAAATTGCCACTAACTAATGTGGCACTGGTCATATTACTGTAGAAGGCACATGCTCCATTATGGAACAGGTGCATTTTGTGTGACTTGTGTCATGCATAGCACTTTGCAGACAAAGTTATGTGGATCTGTTCTCACTTAGATGTTGTAGTTCAGTGGTTCTTAACCTTGGGTTACTCAGGTGTTTTTGGACTGCAACTTCCAGAAGCCTTCACCACCTGCTGTGCTGGCTGGGGTTTCTGGGAATTGCTGTTGTAGTTGACCTAGGTCTGTTGATGTAACTTTGACACCTGCTTAAAATGAATACGTTTCAGTTGGTGCAGCCTGACAATGTGGACAGGATCTTTGGAGAGGTAGAAGACAACAAATGTATGCTGGACCTGTGCCCTTCCTGGCTTATAAAAGAAGCCAAAAGAGGATTGGCTGACTGGGTTAGGGGAGTGGTGAACACCTTTCAGGAAGGCAGGGTACCAGCATGTCTAAACAAAGCAGTAGTAAGACCTTTGTTTTTTTTTAAAGGCCTCCTTGGATCCCATTGTATTGGATAATTATTAACCAGTCTCCAATATTCCGTTTTTGGGGAAGGTTTTGGAACAAGTGGTGGCATCCCAGTTCTGGAAGTTCCTGGATGATGTGGATTATAGATGCATTTCAGTGTGGCTTTAGGACAGTTTACAAAACAGAGGTGGCTTTGATCATTGTAGTAGATTATCTACAATGGTAACTGGACAGGGAGAATCTGTTTGTTCTGTTGGAGCTCTTAGTGGCTTTTGATACCATTGACCATGATATCATTGTGGTGCACCTTTCAGGGATGAGTCTCAGAGGTACTGTCTTACAGTGGTTCTGATCCCTTTCTGGGTGGCCAAAATCAGAAAGTGGTATTAGGGGAATCCTATTTGACACCCTAGCTCTGTCTCCCATGTTATTCAGTATCTACATGAAACTGTTGGAGATTGTCCAGAGTTTTGGAGTTCAGTGCCATGAGTGTGCAGATGACACTCAACTCTATTCCTCCTTCCCATATGATTCCAAGTAAGCTGTTCCATGCCAACACCAGCATCTGTTGGCGGTAATGGACTGGGTAAGGGCTAGCATACTGAAACTTAGTTCAGAGAAGACTGAGGTACGACTGGTCAGTCACAAGACAAATCAGGGGATGGGGATCCAGCTTGTACTGGATGGGGTTACACTCCCCTGTAAAGTCAGTTTTGCAGTTTGGGTGTGCTCTTGGACTTAACCCCAAGCTTGGGTGCTCAAGTCTCAGAGGTGGTAAGGAATGCCTTTGCACAGTTAAAGCTAGTGCACCAGCTGTGCCTGTTCCTTGAGATGCCCTATCTGGCCATGAGGACACATATCTTAGCTACATCTTGTCTGCATTACTGCAATGCACTCTTATGTGGCGCTGCTTTTGAAAAGTGTTAAGAAACTTCAGCTGGTTCAAAATACTGCAGCCAGACTGCTGACATGTGCTTGTATGTAACTTTCTTATTACAACAGCTTCACTGGCTGCCAGTTTGCTTCCAGTCTCAGTTCAAGTTGCTGGTAATATACCTATGAACCCTATACAACTTGAGTCCATCACCCTTTATGAGCCTACTCAACTTTTAAAATATTCTAGGGAGGTCCTTCTCTTGGTTCTCCCCAAGCTTGCTTAGTGAAGACACAAGAGAGGGCTTTTTCAATGGCTGCTTCCAGGCCTTGGAATGAACTGCCCCAGAAGCCAGGTTGGCCCTCTCCCTCTTTTCCTTCTGTTATCACACAAAATCTTTCCTTTTCAGACAGGTTTTTAAGGAATAAGTAGGAGTCTAGGTAATGCTCTGTTTATGAAATTTAGACGTTTTTAAATGTTTTGTAAAATGTTTTTAATTGCTTTAAATTTTTATTAATGTGGGATAGTTTTTAATATAGTTTTGTGTAGTATTTTAAACATTATTATTGTACAGTTTTAATTCTTGTGAGCCACATTGGGTCTTCATAGGGAGAAAAGAAGCATATAAATAATACAAAACAAACAATAAATAATAGCAGGATTTGCCCCAGTGTCATACAGTTTATTTTTATGCTTGCATAAATCAACAGTAAGATTCTGTCAGATTCCTCAAATCCTGGAAACTATTGAAAAACAAATGATTAATAATTTGAGAAAACTGGCTATCATAATAGCAACCAAGGGAGACAGCGCTTCTCATAGCTTTTCAACCTTATTGATAGGAGACATATATCAGTGCTGTTTTTGCAGGAATATAGTAGGATTTCCCCCCCATAAAACAGATCAGAAGACATTTTGTTGACTCCTTGGTCTTAGTTTTCAGCAGAAATAGACAGTCTTCATGGATCTGGTATAATATCCACCCAGTTTAGGCCTCTTTCGTCTTGGCTGATTAGTTGCTATACTTGTAAATCACTCTTTGTTTTGGCTTGTGCCATCCTTTTGCAATAGAACCTGCAAGTAATACAACCCATGCCTCAAGCTGTCTCAGTCTTAACATCCTGAAACAGTTTGTCACCTTCAGGGACTGTCATGCATTTCCAATAGACAGACTTTTTTGTATCTGTTACCCTGATCAATGTTGGCCCAGATTGGCCTTCTGCTTCTGAGAACATGTTCCAGTTAGTTCGCCTGTCATATCTTTTTATTTATTTATTTATTTATTATCAATCAATCAAACAAACAAAAAAGCCATATCATCCTGAATACACTAGGTCTGGTTTAAGTTTGGAAGCTAGGCAGAATCAGGCCTATACTTGGGTTGAATACTGCCCAAGTAGGAATACTACTGCCTGGGGATTCGGGTACAGCTGGGAAGGAATCCTGCCTGAAATTCCCGTCAAAGCTAGATATTTCAGTGGTTTGACCCTAGATAAAGCCATTTCCTATGCTCTTGAATAGAGATGGGTGCTTTGTTAGCCTGACAGCTTTGTATGGAGCTGTCAACATGGCACCAGAGGTGCAGCACAGACCTTCTGGCCACCTTCTAGGATGGCTGGGCCACTTACCTGTTGTCACATGTTACTGGAGTCTTTCTATTTCAGTGGCACATCAATTTGGGCTGGAGTCTGGTTGCCCTTCCCCGCCTCTTCAGGCAGCAGACCACTCATTGGCTGCACTGGGAAAATCCACCTCCCGCCTCCTTGATGGAGTGCTCAACTGCCAGAGGAGGCTGGTATGGGCAGCCTGAGCTGCCTGGATTGGCATGCTGCTGGAGCAGAAGGATGCTGGCGATATGCAGTGACAGGTAAATGGCCCAGCCAGCCTAGGTTGAGTGGGGAGAAGGACTGTGTAGCACCTGTGGCATCACGGTGACAACTTCATACAAAGCTGTGGGGTGCACAAAGCATAAATCTCTATTCCTGAACTATTTGCTTGTCAGTTCTCAAGACGGTCTTTCAGCTTAGCTAGCTGTAATATCCCAAGTGGGTCAGATGGACAAGATGTATTCTTCCAGTATTAGTAAAGCTAGTGCTCAAAGCAGTAAGGGACCATTTGTGTATGAAGAGGAGAAAGAACTTGATGGTTGCAGTCTTAACTTTCATTTCTATGTAGGCTAAATTAAATTTCTAAAGTTGGAGGGAGTAAGAAACGGAGAACACAGCACTTTCTTGGGTACCCTCTGGAGAGCAATCTTGAAACAGAAAGACTGCTAATAAATATGGGGGATGTTGTGGTGGTAG